AAAAGCAATGGGATAATGATGATAATCAGGATCCCGAGCTGAAGCGACGATTAGAACTCCACCATATACGATCTTCAGGTGGGTTCCATCTATAATGATGACTTTCCTCATCGATAGAAACCCTTCTATGCAAGCTCCCAATGCAAAGAATAGGTATTTAAACCTTTTCTGCTCATCTAATTCCACACAAGTCCGTGTACCCGGATTCACTTTCTCTAGCATGTACAAATAAGAATATAGCCACCGATAACTCTCCTCAGAACTTCCCCGCACCTCATTAGCAGCTTTGTTTTTTCCTCTCAGCGCTGTCGAGTATGATACTTTCATGCCAAGCCTGCCTTGAACCATATTAATCAACGTTTTTGGATCTGGTGTGTCGAATCGACCTGGATAGTCTTCAGCCAAAACAGTTGCAACTAAGTGTGGTGTGCCTTTCCTTTTTTGTCTGATTGTACTTGTAGTAACCCGAGAGCATGTGTGCACCTTGTTGTAAGTGACAATAGTGAAACTATTTGAGTTCATACGCACAGAAGCTCTTAAACCCCACTTGCATCCCTCTTTGCTCCCCAACATTTTACCACGAAACGTGTGGGATCAGACTTTTTTGTTTCATACTCAAAACCATTCTCATGTGCACCTTTCTGCAGGAGAGCTTGCAGTCCCTGCCTAGTGTCAAATTCTTGACCTTTATATATATCTAAACCATCTTCCCACCCATGACTTACTTGCGAGTTTCCATCAGAATGTCTGACTTCTGTATCATCATCATACATGAGCTCATATCTTTGTAGAGGATCTGTATCATTTTCTTGCATCTCATTGTATGGCATTTCATTGTCTTGCATTTCACTGTCCGGTATTTCTAAACCATCTCTAACGGTAGAAAACATCTCATCATTACTTGGACCTACATCAACGTCAACTCCATGATCCTCTCTTGAAACATGCACGCTTCCATGACTTTGATCAACATCCTTGATGAACTCCATATGTAGAACACTTCTACATTGATCCTTACTCATTTGTAGTAGATAACCAAAAACATCTTCGTCATTCCAAATATATGATGGTTTCTTCGTGTTCAAGACCATTGGATAATAACTAATTTTCAGCTGAGATGTAGCTGCATCTATTAAAACCTTTCTGCAAATTCCCTCCACTAATCCAAGATAAGTGACATCCTCCAAAGATTTTCTCATCACTAAAGTGTGAATCTCATCTTCTACAGAATTCCAAATAACTTTATCACCATCTTTTGAATAGAACCCCCCATAATCAAAACATATGACTGTGCAACCACTGCTACTCATTTCCCCTGAAAAGAACAAAACAATCGTAAGGTAATCTTATCATAGTTGTGCCAGTTTTACTAGTCGTACTTAAGATGTCCAGTTACGCTAGTTGTACCAGTAGTATCCAGAAAGTTTGGTTCATCCTAGTCGCATTAATTCACTTAATATGTCCAGTTGTGCTAGTTGTACTCAGTAGTACCTAGAAAGTTTGGTTAATCCTAGTCGTACTAAATTCACTTAATATGTCCAGTTATGCTAGTTGTACCCAAAAAGTTTGGTTGATCCTACTCGTACTAATATGTCCAGTTTTGCTAGTTGTACCCAGTAGTACCCAGAAAGTTTGGTTCATCATACGAATCATCACTAGTTTTTACGATTCATTGCTCAGTTAACCAAGATATCATATTTAATTAACAATATCAATTTCTAATAGCCTTACCCAACTAGCTCAACAGCTCCAATGAGCAAAAAAAATCAAAATTTTTTTTACTATGAAATTCTCTAATTGAGAAGAAATTATGTATTATTTGCTCTGCCTATGACATAAACTTGATAATTCAATCAAGAAATCGAAAATAGTATAAGAAACAGCAACAACTAACCTTCAATTTCACGCCTCTGATTTTGTCAATGATGGAAACATGAGAGGAAGAAGACGACGAGGGAACGACGAGAGGTGCAAAAATTTTGGTGGTTGGTTTGATTGGTTTAGACAATTAATTTTAGGTTGGTTTGAATTAAATTTCTTACCAAACCACCTGAAATTATTTTTCATTTTTTTTTCGATTTTTTTTGTTTATTTATTAATGAGTAAACAGTCAATTCATTGAAGAGAGAGGTAGTAAGATTAGAGGGGGTAGTTAGATTTTCTTGACTATACGGAAGGATATATGAGATTAAAGTCCTTTTGAATGTTGTGCTTTTTAATGAAAAATAAAAATGGTTGGGTCCATAAGAACAGCAACAAGAGCGCCAAAAGTTACCAACTTTTCGTCTTCCTCGAATTGTATGCCGTTGCCATTGAATTAAACGTTTCGTATTTCTCTGTGACACATAAGAAGAGTGTTCGTCAAACTCAAAAAAGTTACTAACTTTTCGTCTTTCAACAAGAGTGTGACCCTTTAGAAACAAAAATGTTTTCGTACCTTGGTTCCACAATGGAGAAGCCATTGATGAACAGTGATGCAGCTTCTACTGAGTTTGGACGTCGAATAAGACGAGTAACATTAGAGAAACAAAGCGAAATCAGGATCCAAGTGCATCATTTTTCCCCTCTCAAACTCCGTGTGCTCGATGGCAAAGTTGAGATTTTTGGTTCCGAGCTTCCACCAAAAGTGTGGCTCACGTTTCTACCTCGCCAGCAATTCGCCGTATGTTCTTACAGCTCTTTTCGTAACATCAATTTTATGTAGTTATGGTTATGTTTTTCGAAATGGGTTCTTTGAGTTTTTTGTCAAATTTTCATCCTACGGTCTTGAAAGGTTTGAGCTTTAGGTAGTTTCAGTCAAATGACCTTTGAGTTGGTTACATAGTAAGCAAGTTTTGATCCTGATGGTTTATGGTTAAAGATCTATAGATTCACATATAAAAGTTCTCACTTTCAGGTCTTCACATGGTATGGTGCAACAATCGAACTAGATGGCGTCATAAAAACTGAAGAAACATCCACTGAGGTAAGGTTATATGGTTTCATTCATTATTAGTTCATATGACATAATTGCTGTTTTGTTTACAAACATTGTCTCTGTTCTAGACACCTATGGTGAGCTATCTTAATATTCACAACTCTCTCCAAGTACAAAGACATCGTGTTGCGTCATCAACAAGCAATCATGTACCTTCACAGGTACGTATAATCGTTCTTACTAGAATATTGGTTATATCCATGTTGTAACTACAAGAATTTGGCTTGATGCAGGGGCCAAGAGTTATCATTGTAGGGGATATTGACTCTGGGAAGAGCACATCAGCTAAGATGCTTCTTAGTTGGGCAGCAAAAGATGGTTTCAAACCAACATTTGTTGACCTTAACATCGGTCAAAGCTCAATAACCATACCAGGAACCATTGCTGCTACTTCTATCGAGATGCCTGTGGGTCTTGTTGAAGGGTTTCCTCTTGATAACGCTATTGTGCATTACTTTGGTCACACTACACCACGGTAATTTACTTCGAATTCTCGATCTCTATGTCTTAAAGTAAACTTATAACTTGAGAGTTGACACTTATTTTACTTTCTTGTACTCTGATCAGTAACAACCTTAGACTGTACAAGACCCTTGTTGAAAAGCTTGCTCGAGAATTAGAAGAAGAGTTTGCTAGAAACGCTGAATCTCGACATTCCGGTATGGTGATTGACACAATGGGATGGACCCACGGTCCCGGTTATGAGGTAATTTTTTAGCTTCTTTTGTCACAAGAGAACGGTTTATGTTTCGCAATAAACCAGAGTCTTTCTGATTTGGTATCCTGTTTTCAATTTGCAGCTTCTTGTCCATGCAATAAGGAAGTTTAATGCATCTCTAGTTATTGTTCTTGGTCAAGTAATGTCCCGAAGCTCTCTCTTTTATGGCTTTATCCTAAATCAAGAATTACATTGCCCTTCGTTAATCTTTATCATTTGCAGGAAACTGATCTCGTCAATGATCTGAACAAATCTTTTAAATTCAAGAAAAATCTACGAATCTTGAATCTTGACAAGTCAACTGGAGTTTTCTCTAGAGGCACTGATTTTCGCAAAACATTGAGGAACAACAACATTAAGGTATTCATTAATAGGGTTTCTTTCTATGTTGGATTAAATCAGAGGAATTTTGAATTTGCTTCGTTTACAGAAGTACTTCCATGGAGCCACTAACCATCTCACGGCCTACACCAAAACCGCAAAGTTCAGTGATGTGAAAGTATATCGAATCGGTGACTTTCCTGAGAGAAGGTCAACATCTGCTCGAAGAAGTTATAATGATGACGCTTTGAAGATCACATCTGTGGAAATTGGTGAACATCTTGAGAACAAAGTTCTTGCGATCTCATACGCCAAAGAGCCTAACCAGATCATCTCAAGGTAGATTATCTCCAACTTCGTAATGATTAAAATTAAGCTATATGGATGGAGAAATCGTTTGATGTGTATTGGCGTTTTGCAGTATTGTTGCTGGATTTGTGTGTATCAAAAATGTTGATATTGATGAAGAGAGAATTACATATATCTCTCCATCAGCTGCGGAATCTCCTAGCAACATATTGATCATGGGGACTTTGACATGGCTTGAAACTTGAGGAGCAAGAAACTAAACAGAAGAAATAATGAGGAGTTGGTGTTTTTTTTTTTTAATGTTTAAAACCCTAAAAGTGAGGACAATGTTTTGAACGATATTTCTTCTACTTGCTCTGGTTTGTTAAATCAATGGAAACATTTGACGAAAAATTGTTTTTGTGTAATATCTTTATACAGTTGCAATATGAAATAAAAAAATAACATTTAATTTAATTAAAATCTGTGATATACTCGAATAAATAACTGAATACATTTTTTGGTATATTATCTGATATAAAATTTTGGAAGAATCTAACTTTTCTAACAATCTATGAGATCAAATCTTTAAACACAACAAAACAAAATAGCAGATCTAGATTTTGTAACAGAACCGTATGAGATCTATGTTTATGTATAGATTCTACTAGCAATTTCGTTATCATAATTACGTAGAAGAAAATGGCTAACTTCGTGATGCTCTTAACTTTTCTTCTTCCTCTAGCTCTCTTTCACAATTCTCACTTAGTTCGGTCTCGTTCTCCTCATCATTATAAAAATATTAATAATTTCAATGTTTTTGATTATGGAGCAATCGGAGATGGATTTTCCGACGATACTGAGGTTTTTTTTTACTTTGGCAAATTATTTCACAGATCTTGAAATCTACAATGTATACATATTCATCTTCTTAAAAATGGTTTCAGGCATTCAAGGACGCATGGCAAGACATATGCAACTATGGTGGATCCAAATCAACCATGCAAATTCCTCAAGGAAGTACATTTCTTCTGCAGCCAATTGAATTTCGTGGGCCTTGTCAATCCAAGAAAATCGCTTTTTCGGTGTGCAATACTCTCATATAATACATGTTTAACATATATTTAACCGATGCATTAATTATATAAGTGAAGCTATCTATATGATATTATAAATATCAACATTTTTATTTATTTTAAAGATCAATGGAAACTTAACTGCTCCTGAAGATCCACATCAATGGAAATGCAATGAAGGTCAGTGTCGTAAGTGGATCCAATTTTCACATATAGATAGGCTTTATATCGATGGCCAAGGCACTCTTGATGGTCAAGGACCAAAATGGTGGTCGATAGATTGCGAAAAACATAAACAAGTAAAGCCCATTTTTGAAATTTTATTGTTTCCTATTGTTTTCACCCATTTACTCTATATTCATCTAAACTCATACTATAACTTTTGTTTTTCTTTATAGGCATGCATCGGAAGACCAAGGGTTTGTGAATAATCACTTGACATTAATGATTCAATAAAATACCTCAGGTTATATAAGTCGTTACAAACTATTTGATATGATATTTCTGTATTTTTCTTAGGGTGTGGTTATATCACATTCGAGTAATGTGCATATAAGCAACATTGTGGTTAAGGACAGTCCAAATTTTCAAATGTCGTTGGAAGATTCAAAACGGGTTTTCGTTAAACAACTGACCATACTCGCCGATGGTGAAAGCCCTAACACTGATGGTATTCACATTCAACGTTCTGAGAATGTTTTCGTACACAATAGTAATATCCGTACAGGTGAATCCATTTTCATATAGTTTTTTGTATTGGTCACAATCTTTTTGTCCACCCTAATTCTAATTAAGCATTTTATTGTGTGTGGTATTTGAATACATTAGGTGATGATTGTATATCTATTGGTGACGGTTCAAGGTACATTAATATATCACGAATCTCATGTGGTCCGGGTCATGGAATAAGGTACTTTTTCTTCTATCGATCTTGTCATTTATTTTCAACTTTTGTTACTGTAAATTTAGTTTTAAACACTGTAATTAAACTATAGCAAAATATATTTTGATTAAACAAAGTATCGGAAGCTTAGGTCGAAATGGGACCAAAGGTACGGTGGAAGATATAGTTGTCCAAGATTGTACTTTAAGAAAAACACAGAACGGGGTTAGAATCAAGACATGGCAGGTAAACTTAAAGAGCTTGGTTAATTTGTTTTTAACTTTTTGCTCTCCATATTTTGAAAGTTGAAAACTATATATTAGTAACAAAATTACATTTGTACAATTGTTAAGGGAGGAAAAGGGCATATTCGAAATGTTTTATTTGAACGTATAACGCTACATGGAACAGCCCGACCTATCATCATCGACCAATTTTATTGTCCTCATGCACAATGCAAAAACCGAGTAAGTAATTATTTTTCTTCTCGTTATTTAGTGATTTTTTTTCTTATATTACTTTATTTTTTGTTACTTGGATATGAGACTATACATATGTTGATGATTCATGATTGTTTGATGAGATTATATAACAAAGATAATGAAATTTTGGTGTAACAAACAAAACATCATCAAAGATAATGTTCGTTTAATTCATATTTACAGACAGAAGCTGTGGAGATTAAGAATATAATGTACAATCATATACATGGAACAGCAATCAAGAGACCCTATGTGGAACTCCAATGCAGCAAATCAGTTCCATGTAGAAATATTATCATGAACGATATATACATTGACGACTTCGTCGAAGAAGGAGAAGAAGATGAGAAATATCACAAACGATCGTCTCATCCTTCTGCTGAATGCATCAATGTTAGAGGAGAATCCAGTGGTTTGATGAAGCCTAAAATACCTTGTTTGTTTTCATAAAGACATTGATTTGTCTATAACGTTTCTTCTTTTTTCTTTCGAAAAAGCATTTTAATTTTTTTTATATAAATCTTGAACACTTCCTATTAATTTAATATATTTATAATTTAGTTTAGTAATTTTTTTTTTCAGGAACTTAGGAGAATTAGTTAGAAGTAGAACTGTTTCTGTTGATCTATTTTTCAGAAAATAATATAAAAAAAATTTCTTTTTTGGAAAAGTTCACCGCAAATAGCTTATCATCTCGAAAAACAACCGGTTCGGTTAAACCAATCAACATTAACATTGGTCTATTGTGAAATTTGTAACCTCTGAAACGATGTCGTATTAGCGCAGACATGAGTTTCTCTTAACTTCTCCGTGTTTGTTGAAAGGCTCCAAAATCTCTCTCTGCTTGCGCAAAAACCCCCAGATGGGTTCTATGTCCAGAGCCTCTAAAACCCTAAAATCGTCGAGACAAGCATTCTCATTCTTGTTCAGTTCACTCAAACCCAATCGAAGAGATCCGTTATTTATCGGATTGCAACAAGCTTATGGTTTCAGCTCTGATTCTAGGCAAAATTCCAGAGAAACCCCCATTGATTTGACCCAGTTTCCTCCCGAAAAGATCCGAAATTTCTCCATCATTGCTCATATTGATCATGGGAAATCTACTTTGGCCGATCGTCTCATGGAACTTACTGGCACCATCAAGAAAGGCCATGGACAGCCTCAGTATCTCGACAAATTGCAGGTATTTTTAAGTAATTTACGAGCTCTGATTCCGTAAGTTTTGTTACAGTGGATTCAGAGGAAATGTTTCACAAAGTTTGAATTTTTAAGTTTTGAATCTGTTCATGATTGTTCATATTTTTTGCTTACTGATGGGTAATGAAGTAGTTATGAGTTTATTTACTTAGACTAGATGTTTATTAAATTGGGCTCAAAGGAAATGTTTCATAAAGTTCGAATTTTTAAGTTATGGATAATTCAGTAGTTATAGATGCTTGTTATAGTTGATACAGAGGAAGAAGTGTCATAAAGATTTGATTTTTTTAATCTGTTCATATTTTGCTTGTTCCAAATATTTAGACATTTTAAGTAAGCTACGATCGCTTCTTCCTAAACTAGATGTTGGATATAGTGAATTCAGAGAAAAAGTTTCAGAAAGTTTGAAGCTTTTCAGTTTTGAATCTGTTCAAAATTGTTCATATTTTGCTTAGTGATGGATAATTAAGTACTTATGGATGTTTGTTTTAGGTAGAGAGGGAGAGAGGAATAACTGTAAAAGCTCAGACGGCGACAATGTTCTATCAAAACAAAGTGAAAGATCAAGAAGCGAGCGGTTATCTTCTGAACCTAATCGATACGCCAGGTCATGTTGACTTTAGCTATGAGGTCTCTAGATCATTATCTGCTTGTCAAGGAGCTCTCTTGGTCGTTGATGCGGCTCAAGGTGTCCAAGCACAAACCGTGGCTAACTTTTACTTAGCATTCGAGTCTAACCTCACCATCGTACCTGTAATCAACAAGATTGATCAACCAACAGCTGATCCTGAACGTGTCAAAGCTCAGTTAAAATCGATGTTTGATCTCGACACAGAGGATGTCCTTCTAGTATCTGCGAAAACCGGTTTAGGGCTCGAGCATGTTCTTCCTGCGGTCATAGAACGGATACCTCCACCTCCCGGGATCAGTGGCTCGCCTCTACGGATGCTTTTGTTTGATTCCTTTTTCAATGAGTACAAAGGTGTCGTTTGCTATGTTTCTGTTGTTGATGGAATGCTGAGTAAAGGAGATAAGGTCTCTTTCGCTGCGTCGGGTCAGTCTTATGAAGTGTTAGACGTTGGGATTATGCATCCTGAGCTTACTTCCACAGAGGTGCTTCTTACAGGACAAGTTGGTTATATAGTAACCGGTATGCGAACCACGAAAGAGGCTCGTATTGGTGACACAATCTATAGAACAAAAACCACTGTAGAGCCTCTTCCAGGTACTTGCCTCCTCCTAGTTACTCTTGAGATCCTTTGTAATTAAAAATTGAGAATCGTGATGAGCTTAGGAAGAGATAAATTCACCAAAGATCATTTGTATTGGTGACACAATTTATAGAACAAAAACCACTATAGAGCCTCTTTCAGGTACTTGTTTGCTCCTAGTTACTCTTAAGAACCTTTGTGATTGAACATTGAGAATCTTGATGAGCTTAGGAAGAGATAAATTCACCAAGATCCTTGGTATTGGTGACACAATTTATAGAACAAAAACCACTATAGAGCCTCTTCCAGGTACCTTGTTTTCTCCTAGTTACTCTTAAGATCCTTTGTAACTGAAAATTTGAGAATCTTGATGAGCTTAGGAATAAGCGGAGATACCATCTTGAGTTTGTGTCGTTTCAAAATCAATACTTATTACTCTGTTCTTCACTGTTCTAAGAGCAAGAAAGGAGAAAAGACTCAGTTTTTTTTATTTTTTAACTTCTTTTGCGAATTCTCTGTTTCTCTTGTAGGTTTCAAGCCGGTGAGACATATGGTGTTCTCAGGCGTTTATCCAGCTGATGGATCTGATTTTGAAGCACTTAGTCATGCCATAGAGAAACTGACATGTAACGATGCAAGTGTCTCCGTGGCTAAAGAAACAAGCATGGCTCTTGGAATGGGATTCAGATGCGGCTTCCTCGGTTTGCTTCACATGGATGTGTTTCATCAGAGGCTTGAACAAGAATACGGTACACAAGTAATCTCCACGATCCCTACAGTTCCTTACACATTCGAATACTCAGATGGAAGCAAGTTACAAGTTCAGAATCCAGCTCAGTTGCCTTCAAGCCCCAAGTACCGAGTCACGGCTTCTTGGGAGCCAACGGTGATCGCCACAATCATCCTTCCGAGTGAGTATGTAGGAGCTGTTATCAACCTCTGCTCTGATAGAAGAGGACAGCAACTAGAATACACTTTCATAGATGCGCAACGAGTTTTCTTGAAGTATCAGTTACCGTTGAGAGAGATCGTTGTTGATTTCTACGATGAATTGAAAAGTGTAACGTCTGGTTACGCTTCTTTCGACTATGAGGATGCAGAGTATCAGAAATCTGATCTTGTGAAGCTTGACATTCTCTTGAATGGTCAAGCGGTTGATGCGTTAGCGACGATTGTTCACAGCCAGAAAGCGTACCGTGTGGGTAAAGAGCTTGTGGAGAAGCTTAAGACCTTTATAGAGAGGCAAATGTTTGAAGTGATGATACAAGCTGCTATTGGTTCGAAGATTATCGCGAGAGACACGATCTCGGCGATGAGAAAGAATGTTCTTGCGAAATGTTATGGAGGAGATATAACGAGGAAGAAGAAGCTTCTTGAGAAACAGAAAGAAGGGAAGAAACGAATGAAGCGAGTTGGTTCTGTTGATATTCCACATGAGGCTTTTCAACAAATACTCAAAGTCTCTTAGAAGATGAAGACTTGAAGAAGAAGAAGATGGTAGTAGTTTTATGCAATTGAAAGATTATTTTTTTGTCTTTTGCTGGAAATTTACTGTTTGTAAAATGTGAAGCCGCTGAATTTTGAGGTTCTCACAATTGAAAACATTGAGAATATTTTTTTCAGTTTCTCATAAAAAAAATAAACCAAGAATTTGCTGATAAAGACAAACCGTAACGGATAAAATAGTTTTATTATTTAAAAAATACTCAAAATCCATTGGAAGATGGAAGAGTCAGAGTCCAATTTTTGGCGGTGGGAGGTCTAAAAGGCATTTTCAAACAATGGGACTCCTTTGCAAAACGTGTAAAATTTAGTGGTCCTTTTGGAAATACTTATTCAGGAGTAAAACGATTATGGAGATGCGGGGTATCGATCCCCGTACCTCTCGCATGCTAAGCGAGCGCTCTACCATCTGAGCTACATCCCCTATTGTTGGTGTGGGGTCACTTTTTAAATTTCAAGCTAAAAGACTATTTTGTGAAGTAATACAAAAACCTAACTTTTTTTGGAAAACGTTTTGAAATATAAAATGGAGATGCGGGGTATCGATCCCCGTACCTCTCGCATGCTAAGCGAGCGCTCTACCATCTGAGCTACATCCCCTGTTGATGTCATTATAGACTTATCACCAATATTTATAAAAACAAACACATGAGATGAGAGTTATCTCAAACAATACACGACAAAAACTTCCAACAAAAGGATCATGATGTTGAGTGTTGTTGACTAACACAACAACCCGACAAAGGTGTACTTGTTATTATTCCTCGTTATCTAAAATAAACTCCTAGATTTGTCCTTGTGTTCTGTACTTCTGAAAGATTTCTTTTATTATATACAGCCAAAAAAGAAACAACAGAAAATATCTTGTTTTTTGTTCAACTGAAAATATCCAAATCAAGAAAACACAGAGAAAAAAAAGGAAAGATCTTTTTGTTTCTTCTTTTGGTTTGCTTAACTACCATCTGTTCTTCTTTTGTTCATTCACTCTTTCATGGTTGGTCCACTATACATCATTGCCATAACCGTCAAATCCTCTGGCTTCTCTTCTCTCTCCTTCAACCACGCATAGCCTTCCTTCTCCTCCTCCGCAACCGCAACTCCATCAACTGAAAACATCCCGGAAAAAAAAAAAATCTAAATCCACTTTCCTTCTGAAGTACTAAAAGATTCTACAAAGTTTTCCGTTTACCTGAGAATCTTGAGAATGGATAATCAAAGTAGTAAGTACAATGACGTCCCGCGGGATCGGAGTAAGGAGGACCAAGAACATCAAGAACCGCACAAGCGGTTTTCGCCGTGAAGCAATGCATATTCCCTCCATCCGCAGGATAGAGTATAGAAGCGTCACAAGGCGCAGTGAACTCAGAATCTACTTTCACTTTCGCCAATCTTGTATCCGAACTCTGCCCTACATTTGATTCCAAATATAACAACAACAATGACATTATCAAACACCAATCCTAGTAATCAGATCACATGTGTTGTTGATATATACTTACGAGGAGAATCAGCGACCCAATCATAGGATTTGATGTGCATTGTACCAAACAAGAGCTTACTAAACACAGTCATCTCCGGGTGGTTGTGAAGAGGGATTACACCACATGGTGGTAAACAGAAAATGCCCATCTTATTACCAGACATACACAAACACAAACCAAACATCAAATACTGTAATTACGAACATACTAATTCAAGAAATTGTTCAAGGAGAGGTTTAGAGAAAGTACCGAGAATCTATCACATTCATAGATGTGAAGGTACGTCACTAGTGGAGACCGTAACATCGGTTTAGATCGAAAACACGGCATGTTAGGGCTCACGTTAACATCTTCAGGCTTGATTTCGTCTATAAGCATAAAAGAGAAGCAATTTGAAACATCAATATAAACAGACACAATTTCACCAGTTTTCAAATGTTCCAAAGTTTCAAACTTTATGATTTAAATAAAGATAGGATTTTTGGAATTTACCCAGAACGGCTCGAAGCATCTCAATGTTTTCTGCGGACGGGACGATTCCGGATTCGCCATTTGCGAATACTTTTTTGCAAGTCTCGAACAGCTTCTGCACCGGAGAGATCACAGCTTTCTTGCTCCGCCGTTGGATTCTCTTACGTGAGTTTGAACGATTCTCCGGAGAGGAAACGATCGGTTTCTTCACCGGAATGTTCCCATTTGGACTCGGTTTGTTCGAAATCTCCGAGAGATCTCTCCTTACTCTTCCACCAACAACTTGACCAGTTCCCATTTCAAAATGTTCACGAATCTGAGATTAAAAACACAAACTTTTCGATCTGGGTTTATCGGGAAAAGAGAAAAAACTGAAACAAACACTGTTCGATTTGGTTTCTCAGTAAACGTACGAATACAGTAAAATCTGGAGGAGATAACGAGAGGAAAAGAACAGTATTGGGATTAACGAGGAGGGGGGTGAGAAAAAAAGGGAAAGGTGTTTAAAAAGGGGAAGGATTGTGATAAAAGTTGGAATTGAGGAAGAAGAAGAAGGAAGACTCAGAGGAGAAAACTAGGGGCCATGTTTTTTCCCATCAAGTCAAGAGAGGTTTTTTTCTCTATGGGCGTGGGTTTTGTTTTCCAACGGCGGGTTTGTTTTTTCAACATTTTTATCTTTTTATTTCCATATTTATTTATGTATCTTTTAATTACTTTTTCTTCTTGGTCAATATTTTTTTTTTTTTTTGGTAAAACTTTTAGTATACTTTAATTTTCTTAACTAGTTTTTAATATCCGTTAATAGCATTTTCAGATTCTATTGACCTTATAAAAACATTCGGGAACGCCGGAACGCTAATTATAGTAGTATACTAAAAATGCTTTGAGTTTCAACGAAGTTTAAGACCAAATTTAGGGTTAAAGATGTTGGGATCATGATTAATAACTTTATAATTTAGACGTTAAATATGAAAACATGACCATTTAAATGAGCAAGATGAAGTATATAATGTAAATGCATAAACATTTTAAGATATATATGAAAGTTTCAAAAATACGGTATGTTAGAGTCTAGCCAAGGTTTAGGATAAAATTCAGGGTTAAACATGTTAAAATTATGATTAGTTTTAGGGAAATTTGTGAAAATAGATCAAAGAAACTAACTTATTGTCCCAATAAACCTTTAAAACTGTTGTCAATTTTTATAATTTAGACTTTAAATATGAAAACATGACCATTTAAATGTGAAAACATGACCATTTATAATTTAGACTTTAAATATGAAAACATGACCATTTAAATGAGCAAGATGAAGTATATAATGTAAATGCATAAACATTTTATATATACGAAAGTTTCAAAAAATACCGTAAGTCAAATTTTAGCCGAGGTTTAGGATAAAATCTAGGGTTAAATATGTTAGAATTATGATTAATTTTATAATTTAGATATTAAATATGACAATTTAAATTGAACAAGATCAAATACAATATAAACACATAAACCTTTTAAGAAATATATGAAAGTTTTCAAAAATTCATATAAAATTATATTTTAAAGATATGAAATCTGAATATTATGTAGTTTTATTAGGTATTGAAAACATGATTTCACTGATTATATATCTCATTTATAATAATAAATATAGAATTATAAAAATTAATAAGTTATTTTTTAATCTTTTTTTATAACTCTAATAAATTCCAAGTTTATGGAGGAGTCAAGAATGAAGCCTAATCCTTAGAGAAAGTACAATATACGGATAAACATTTTTCGAATATGCAAATAGGTTGAAAGCAAAGATTTATATATTCGTGTAGATATCCAAAATAATGTGTTTTAGTTTCATGTAGCAGATGGATCGAACTTAAAACATAATAAAGTTCTAATCTCATCTCCTTACCATTCATCACAAAGCTTTGGATAATTATTTTACATTTTATCCGGCGTGTTTTTTTATAAATTTATAACTTCTTTAGATAAATATGTGTATATTTTATATTGCTAATAGCATTTTAAGATTACATTTCTTTAGGTTTTGCGCTACTTATATAACAATATTGTACAATAGAACATTTATAAATTAATACTTGATAAATTAATAATCATTATAAATTAATAATATCTACTAAAGCTAAGTAGGTCCAGTGTAAAAATTGACAAAATTCGATAAGATAAGATTTTCTTTGAAAGTTCTATGTAAAAATATAGTCTCAATAAAAATATAAATTAATAATTATATATTTAGACATATATTGATAATATAATATAATAAACTATGATAATACTGCTGTTTCAAGCTATAAAATTTGTTTAATTTATCTTTTAAATTCATTATTATGACATTTTTTGAATGAATTTTACATTGTTAAAAATATTAATTTTTTTATGAGTATTCAAAATTCAAACTAAAAATATCTATACAGATTAATAAATTATTAATTTATCGATTAATGAATAACTCTATAAATTAATAAAATTTGACAGTCCCAACATTATTAATTTATAGAGATTTTACTATATGTGAGTGTTAGATATATAATAACATATGTAATATAAAGAATACTGTTTAAAAAAGATATTGATGCTAATAAAAGTAGTATATTAAAGAAAATACTATAAGAAATCATGTGTAATGTATCATTTATTTTTAAGATATCATTTTTTTGATTAATGCAAATTCAGTTGCATCATTTAATTAAATAACTTTGGAAGTAATGATGCTAATCAATTATATCAATGATATATATGAAAAGAGGTGATTACTCTCCAACAGCTTAACATATCAGTATTTTAAATTAATTTGGAAGTTATAAGTGTTCAATAAAAATTACAACTATACAAAAGCTAAATATTATTTTACATTATTTGCATATCTTTAATGTATCATAAATGCATTTGAAGGATATAAAATGTTAATTTTTTTGGTATCACTTAATTATAAATTTATATTAGAGAAATTGCATTTGAATCAAAGATAGTTAGAGATATGCAAAAAATTAAAGAAAAATACTCTCTTGTAACTTAAAAAATATTTAAAAAAAAATCTACACAAAATTTAGCAAAGATAAAATTTAAGAATAATGATTTTGGAGGCATGTAGATGTTTATGTATAAAAAATGTAATAGTAATTTGATGGTGCAGATAATAATAATATATAAAAAATTATATATTATTTGTGTGATATGTTATAATATTTGTTTTTTGTGCAATGTTATAATATTTGCTTTTGATAGCGTTTTATAGGTTAAAAAAAATAAAATAAAAAATAGATGAAAAATGAAAATTATTAAAAAAGGAAAATTTAAATAAAAAGTAATAAACCAGAGAAAATTGGACGTTCATGTTTGATCTATTTTTAAAGTGATATATCTCTAAAAAATATCAAATATAGTGTTATAAATTAATTAATGACATAAATTAGATTATAATAGACTTTTTAAGCAAAATTTACGTAATAGAATAAAATTATTATAATTACAAAGTAATACATTATGTATGAAAGATTTTATAAGTATAAAATTCATATAGAAATATTTTATTTTATTATAAAATATATTTTATAAAAAATACCTGCATGTACATGTGGGTATTAGTCTAGTATTATTAATGATGCAATTGTTTTTATCACTTATATTAATTAATATTAATATATATTATTTGCAATACGTGATATTATTATTTGACTCAATTAAATAAATAATATTAATATTTACATAACTTAAAATAAATAATATTAATATTTACTATCAGTTATAATAAATGATATTATATATTAAAATTCAGGGATATTAAAATTCATGTTGATTTAGAATTTTGCGTTAATTTTTATAATAGTATAAATTTAAAATAATTTATAATTTTATATTTATTATTCTATGAAATATATGTAAACACATACATATAATATAACATAAAAAAGTTTAGTATTGATGAATTTCTTTTGTAAAAGGAAAAATTAGTATGCTTTATCATTCTTAGCAATGTGAGATAAATAGTTGTTTAGTTGAAATTTAATTTGCATCACTTTTATAACTGAAAAAAAATATTAGCATCACTTTCCATTGATGCTAATTATGCGAGTTGATCAAATGATTCACTTATGTAATTGATGTAAGCTTATATATTTGTATTAGTTTTCTGAAAGTGATATAAATTAATAATGATTTGTATCAGTTTTTTTAATTGATGTTAATCAAATTAATATTAGTATCAAATATTTTTAGTTGATACTAGTCAAGTATTAGTATCAATTAAAAACTGATGTAAACTTTTATTTTTAGTGTTAATTTTTAATAAATGGTTCTAAATAGAATCAGTTATCTTATTGACATTTTCTAAATGATGTAATATATTTTTTTTTTGTAGTGAAATGTCAATAGCAACGTATATATTGCTATTGCATGTGTGGCTTGTCTAAAAGAACAAAAGTTCATTTGAGTTTTAACAAGGTTTATGACAAGATTTAGGGTCAAAGATGTTGGGATTATGATTAATTTTGTAACTTTTATGTTAAATATGAAAATGTGATAATATATGAGCAAGATAACTACGGTTTTTACAACGTAAACAAGTCAACGTTTTAAAAGTATATAAAAGTTTCCAAAAAATTGTGTAAATTTGAATTTAAAAGATATGGTAAATAGACTTGTGTTGAAAAAAAAAACATAATTAGACTTGTTATGTTACCTAAATTAATTACTGTACTCTAAATTTTCCATTATATATTTTACTACTTTAAAAATGAAATTGTTAGAAAAATATTCGGTCCATATTCAAGAAATATACATGAAATAATATTGGGAGCCTTGCTGATATATAATCATGTATATCTTTGGCTTACCACCACAATTTTTTGATGTACTTGGATGGTTTATGGTGTTTCTGAAATGAGTCTTTTATTTTCTATTAGTCTAGTTGTGTGGCTTAATTACATTCTTTTTGCTCACGCATGAAATTATGAAAAAAAAAAAAAACAATTAACAACAGGTTATCATTTCGTCAGCCAACTTCAACTTCGATCAAGCAAGTACTAACGGCAATATTTAGCAATTCAGACAAATTGATAAATATGCGATAAGTTTTTATTTATTTATTATTAGATATGTTGCAACTTTATAGTTTAGTTACATTACATATAGATAAATATCGCAGAACATTTTCCTTCCTTCGTATTGTTAAAACAAAAATAATAAAAGTAAACAGACCAAATTATAGATGAACTCATGGCTTCATTCGTCTGTTGTGAAGAAATGCATAAGATTAATTATGCCTCCATCTAAACAAAATGTTTGTTATGTGCCCGCTTCAGTGGCCTGAATCCATCTTTTCCGGCGACTTTCATCTTCCCGGCGGAATCAAACTGAACTTTTCCTCGAATTCCGAAACCAAGGTGGTTCAAGAAATCGTTAGATGAACCTCTGACATTTCCACCGACAAGAGCTCCGACGTTGACTTCGGCATTAGCTTCAGTTAATTCTCTCCCGTGTTGTTTACCTTCGAAAAAAGGACCAAAGAACTGAAAAAATTTATCCCACGAGTTTTGGAAAGAACCGTCGACTTTTTCACCGGCCTCAGCTCCGTCGCTGACTGGAGATGGAGCTTCAGCTAATAATTCTCTTCCGTGTGTACTGTCACCTCCGAGATAACCACCAAAGTAGTTAGAAAATTTCTCGTAAAGGGCTTCAAATCCTTTGACATCAGCACCAACATTAGAGTTGGCATTGACATCAGCTTCGACTAGTTCTCTTCCATGAGGTTTACCTCCGAGATAACCACCGAACTTGTCCGAAAAATTCTTCAGAAACCTGTCGAAAGCACTTCCACTTTCATCATCTCCATCTTCTTCAAGTGCTCTTGCACGATGGAGAACTGTCTTCTTCTTCTTGTCAAGATCGCAGACTACATCAATGAAAGCATTCAACGATTTCTTGAATTTTATCAGTGCCTCACCGATGTTTTTTGATTCGCGAAGGGTAATCTTAGCATCAGCCTTGTAATCATGTTTGGCTGAGATCTTAACGATCGTCTTTTGAATCTGAAGAAACCCTTTTGTCAAACCAACACAGCTTTTCTTTAGCTTCAAGGAAGCTTTCTTATCGACTTTAGCAGTAGCTTGTGCCGCAAGAATCGAATTTGTCATTAGCGCGTATTTGGCCTTGGCAATTCCCAAAACATCTACGATGGGATTCTCAAACTTGTAAAGGCTCTCGAGGTATGCAACATAGCCTTTGCACAATGTGAACATTGCCTTGAACTCGGCGGTTTTTGGAACCAACCGTTCTTTCCTGTTTAGGAGCTTGGCGATTTCGGTAAAGGGTAAAGTCTGGAGTTCGGATACGGTTTTCGGACATGACAGTTTTCTTGTCGGTGCGGGTGGTGCATGACCGGAAACGGAAAGGAACAATGAGCCAAGTGCGAGAGCAAAGGCTAAAGAGAACAACAGAGAGATCCTTGCCATGGTTGTAATGCTTATGGCAAGGAAAATCTTTTAAAAAACAAAAAGTCTAAATGAGAAAAAATACAATACGAAGGAAGTGCGTTTTTCATTTGAGTTCTTGGAATGGTATATATACTTTGTTCTTAATTCTTACAAGCTAAATATAGGACAAATGGTTAAAATGAGGAGTAAATAAAAAGAAAAGACAGAGAGAGATTCATGGAACTCTGTTAGTTTTTTTCATTTTAAGAATTTAAGTGAATGTTAAAAGAAAACTACGGAACAAATGGTATCAGTTTCAAACAAATCGTCACCTAAGTTAAAAACAAAATAGTTATACAAAAATAGAAACATAATTGTTAACTAGGTTATACAGTGTTAGGGTTTTTTTTTTTTTTGGTGAATGATCAGAGACATAAGTCTCCACACTTTATTTAAACAGAAACAAATGAACTACATCCGAACACTTCGCATTACAGTTGTGTCTATTGCATCATCAAACAATATCGAAACAATCTCTGCAGGAGGATCCTTTAACAAATGAAAACCTAAGGGTAAAGAGAAGGCATGATTGGCTAGTCCGTCAGCCAGCCGATTCGCCTCTCGATAGATATGAGACACTCGAATTAACCAGTCTCTTGAGAAAAAGTCATGACACAAACGTACCAGGAGAAACAAAGGATGAGTCGCACTTATCCCTGCCGTCAGAAAGTCCACCACCATCGCCGAGTTGATCTCTAACTCCACTCGGCTCACTCGCTACTCCCATGCGATATAAAGACCTTAATACATACCCATAACTCAGCTAAAGGGGCTGTGCATCTTCCAATGTTCAGGGCAAATCCCCCTCTCCAAGTTCCATTCACGTCACGCAACCCCCCCCCCCCCCCCCCCCCCTGCAGTTGCAGAACCCGTGCTACCACGTGACGCTCCATCAGTGTTCAATTTCACCTATCCTACACTCGGCGGTGCCCATGAAATCAGCCTCTCCACCCGCATATTTTCTGTACTTTGCTTCTGCAACTTTATATGCGCATTGACTACCTCTTTTGCAAGGTTTTTCACAAAGCGTATCCGGTCCCTGCACTTCGCATTTGATCCAAACACATTGCCACATCTCCATTTCCACCCCCACCAACTAGCCATAGCAAATAGAGAGGACCAAGGGCAGCCTCCCACTTCTAAGTTGTCTCCCAGGTTATCATACAACGACTCAAGCAGAGACTGCTCAAAGAAACATCCTCGCTAGCTTGGTGGGACCACACGGTGCCAGATCCCCAGCATTGTCGGACAATCCCGTAATACATGAATGATGGACTCAGTCCCCATGTGATCCTGTCCTTCTAAGTTGTCTCCCAGGTTATCATACAACGACTCAAGCAGAGACTGCTCAAAGAAACATCCTCGCTAGCTTGGTGGGACCACACGGTGCCAGATCCCCAGCATTGCCGGACAATCCCGTAATACATGAATGATGGATTCTTCTCCTCCTCGGCAGACTTGGCATAGACTTGTAGTACACAAATGGCGCCTTAGTCTTTCCAGATTTGTCATGATCACTTGGTTTACAACAAGCCAAAGAAATACCTTAACCCTTTCTGTTGCCGTCACTCTCCAAACTCGGTCAAACAAGCTCTTTAGATTTTGCCTTGGAGCTTCTCGCCTTGTTATAAAAGCATAGGCCAATTTCACCGTGAAGGTGCCATCCTGACTCAGTCCCCACGTGATCCTGTCCTTTGCACTAGTGATATTATCCACAACAACCGCCATTAATTGTAGCTTGACGTGAGTCGAGGTATATGGGTCTATGCTTGGCATCCACCATCCTACTCCATTCCTCCACAAATCACAAACTTTAGCATTCACCAATTCCTCGGGGATCTCTCCCTCCACCAGATCAACTAACGGTACACTAAGTAGCCATTTGTCTTTCCAAAAGTTGATCGTACGGCCATCCCCAAGTATTCAGCTTAAGCCTGGAATAACCACCTCCTTTAGTCCCATCACGACACTCATCCACGTCGATGACCCAGTCTTCCTTAGTTGCCCCCATTCCAGTTCCTCTGTATCCACCACTCTGTATTTTCTACGAAACACTGTAGCCCACAAACTGGATTTATCCTGCAGCAGACGCCATACCAGTTTACCAAGCAGAGCTTTATTCATGTCCTTTGCTCTCCGAATCCCCAAACCTCCCTCACTCTTCGGCATACACACCCTATCCTAAGCGAGTAAGTGTTGCTTCCTCTGCTCAGTATCATCCCCCCAAATAAAAGTCCTCGATATCTTATCTAGCCGTAAAAGAACAGACTTGGGTAAGGATATCGTACTCATTGTGTGCATCGGCAAAGAAGACAGAACAGCATTAGAGAGGGTTATCCTGCCACCAAAACTTAACTGCCTTCCCTTCCAGCCAGCTAGTCGTGATGTCGCTCTCTCCAAAACTTTCCCAAAAGTCTCCTTGTTTACTCTATTTTGGAGAATCGGGATACCCAGATACTTCCTCAGCTCCCGTGTCGACTGCATACCACTCTCAGCAGTTATTTCCCTTTTCACTTCGCGATTTACATTCGTGGAAAAGAAGATCTTTGACTTCTCAAGGCTTACCTTCTGCCCTGAAGCAATACAAAAGCGTTCTATCACCCTTCTTATCACCCTGATCTGAGCTACGGATGCTTCAGCAAAGAGAATCAAGTCATCCGTAAAACATATATGCGATAAACTCGGTCCACCTCTCGAAATAGTAATCGGCTTCCATTCTTTGCATGCTATTGAGCCCTCTATCAGGTGACAGAGCCTCTTCAAACAGAGAACAAATAAGTATGGCGATAACGGGTCGCCTTGCCTAAGCCCACGCTGAGGTCTGAAACCATCTGTTTTCTCTTCATTCCACAAGATGCTCATTGAGGGACCCGTAACACATTGCATTATCCATCTTACCCACGATTTTGGTAAGCTTGCTACTCTTAGTGTGTCTTCAAGGAAATCCCATCTGATCCTAACGTAAGCCTTCTCCAAGTCTAACTTCAGTAGCATCACGCCTTTTCTACCCTTCCTGTATCTCATAGAGTGAACAACTTCTTGGACTATGACGACATTATCCGTACTTAGCCTTCCTGGGATGAAGCTAACTTGTGCCGGACCAACCAACTTTGGCATAATCTGTTTCAGTCTCATCACCATCATCTTAGTTATTGTTTTAAACAAAACGTTACATAAACTGATGGGGCGAAACTGCGTAATCCTTTCTGTTTTCATGACTTTCGGGATCAGCACTACGAGCGCATCATTCGTGCCTTCCGGTAATTGTTCCGTCTGAAAAAAGCTGAGAGCAAATTTCACCACTGAATCTCTTACCACCTCCCAGCACTCTTGGTAAAATACCGGTTGAAAGCCATCCGGGCCTGGAGCCTTATACTTCCCCATACTTTGAATAGACTCCTCAACATCAGTCGCCAAGAAAGGCTTATCTAAAGCCACCCTATCTTCTCGTGATAACGTCACAAAACCCACTGGTGATAGCCGGTCAACCTCCTGATCAATATCATCCGTAGAGTAGAGCCTTTTATAATACTCGATTGCCAAGTTCTCAAGCTCTTGGGACTGTGAGATCCAAACTCCATCATTACCCTTCAGCATTTCAATTTTGTTTCTCCTTCTTCGAACAACAGTATTTGTGTGGTAATACTTCGTATTTCGGTCCCCCAGAGCAATCCATTTCTCCCTGGACTTCTGAAACCATAACACCTCCTCTTGTTCCAGAATCACATCAAACTCCTTACACAGACTCACCTCCTTCTCAAGTAAGTCATCCGTTTGGTGATATTTGATATATCATGGTTTTTATGGTTTTTAACCATGATATAAGTCATTTTTATTGAGTCTTTTTGGTCTTTTTAGAGTCCTAGAAGAGTCTTTGCAGGTTATAGCATGTCTGGAGCATAACTGGAGATATTGGAGCTTTTTGGAGCATTGCAAGTTGAAGCCACGAAGTATCCAACTCGGGAAGAAAAGTATGCATAAGGGTGACACTCGTCACCCAGAAAGGAAGGGGTCGTGGCTGTTTTATAAAAGATAGAGGATTATTTGCAGTTTTGGCCCAGAAGTTCCAATATTTATAGAAAGACCCCAGATCGTGTTTTTAGCTTGTATATTAGATTTTTCAGCCATTCTTTTAGCATATATCTTGTATCTTATTATTTTTGAGAGCTTTAGAGAGAGATTTATAGCAGAGCTTTTGGAGAGACAAATCAGACTCCTTCAGAGCAGATTTTGAACTCCTTTATTTCTACTTCTTATTTCTTTTATGCAATCTATTCTTTTCATGATGTTTTCTCAAATCACCATGTCTGAGTAGTTTGTTAGTTAAGTTAGGGTTTTTCAAAGGTTGAAGAAGAGTTTGTAGAATTGCTAAAACTATAGGAAATTCAGTGGTTCTTCATCTGTGCTTGCATTCATATCGATTTCTTAGACACATCATCTGGATTTCGAAACCCTAGGTTGTTTGATAGATGTGAGAGCATTATTAATCACCTGAACTAGTATTAGATGAGCAAAACGCCCTAGTACAAAGAGATTTGGCTTAGGAGTTTTGTGAACAATTGAATCTGATCATTACTGCATGTTTAGATTGTTAGGGTTTGCAAAGAGATTTGAAACTCTGTGATTTAGACATAGATAACTTCTGCAATGAGAATTGATTAGTTATATCTTTGCGATTCATGTTCAAGATGGTTTTAATTCATTCCTGATTGCATGCACTCTACACTCTCGGATTCAACCTGCGAACTGTCCTGACTTAGCGCCTTTAGCTTTCTGAACTTTAAGAACAGTCTCAAAAACGCCTACTTGCTTTTATTACTTTAGTTATTTCGCATTACATTCATTACTTATTGCTTAGCTTAATCCGAACCTGAACTCTTTAGTGTAGTTTACTTACTCCCTTGGGATTCGATAAACCCTTGTACTACAACAGCTTTGCTGTGCACCTGCAGTAGTTTTATTTGGGTAAAACCTGAACC